GTGTTTGACAAACTGACCCGAAAAACCAGTTCCTCTCTAGTTTCACTGACTTCACTAAGCCGTTTTTTCTTTCCTCACATAGCCGATAGGGATTTATTCTGAATCCCATTTCAGCACACAGAAGAGAGTCAAATGTGCCAGCTAAGGGAGAAAAAAGGGAGTCCAGAACAAGTTTGTTAACAACCATCTGGTTGCTATCGAGCATAACCAACGACTTTTAATCAATTCTTGACATCACAAGCTGACAACTCCCTGCATTACACACAAGACTACAGTTTTTGTCGCATTTTACATGCATGATAAGACTGAGTTTAGTAGTCCGGCACAAAGGTCCTTTTACAGATTGCCAGAATGGAAAAAGCTTTAAAATGTTCAGATTGCCCTTGTTCATTGGGAATAAAAGAAAGACAGGGTGGGAAGGCAAGATAATAATGAGAATTATATTTTTGTTATTTTTTCCTTGGAAAGACATATTTTAAAATTTGCATATTATAGACCTCACCCTCCAGCAGAAATTACGGCTGTGAGATCTCTAATCAGCGGAAGTATGTCTTGCCTGTGTGGTAAAAGGTATATCATTAAAATAAATTATTTTTCTTGCATAACAGTCCTTTGCAGTTGTGGTGGTGTTCTTTTTTCTACTTTAGCTTACACAATACACATTTCCTTTTTTGCATATTCAAAATACAAATTTGATAATTTATAGAGAACTTTTTGTTTACGAGGACTTCTCGGCAGGATTGAGATTTTAGATCAGATTCACTTACCAAACTGAGACCACACAAAACATTAGTAATTCCACAACAAATTTACGTAATCGTTCCATTATGAGAATCTTAAACAATATTGCCCCCTTGTGGGTTTATTTTTACCCTTAATTTCTGCTGTTTATCAAACGTGTGCAGCGTTCACCTAAATAGCAACCACAACCACCGCAACACTTTCATAAACACCTGTTTTTCATTGCGTACTGGAACATGTTTCTGACCCACAAGGCCATCGTGTGCAATAACAAAAGGTCACTGAGGTACTTTGAACTATTTATTTATTTATTTATTTTTAATGTTGAGTAGTCTAATACTACCGTTCAAAAGTTGGGGTTTACTAAGATGTGATCTAAGGTTTTTGAAAGAAGCTCACCAAGGCAGCATTTTTTTGATGAAAAATAAAAGCAGTAGGCTAATGTTGTGAAAGATTTGTAAAATATAAAATAACGAAATTAACTGTATTTTAATATATTTTGAAATATACTTTATTCCTGTGATCAAAGCTGATTCTTTGATCTGCTGATGTTACTCCAGTCTTCAGTGTCACATGATCCTCCAGAAATCATTCTAATATGCTTATTTGGTGCTCAAGACATATTTCTTGTTATTATTATCAATGTTGAAAATGGTTGAAAGTGCTACTTAATATTTTTGTGGAAACAGATACATTTTTCATGATTCCTAGATTCTTTGAATTAGAAATCTCATAAATTAATGTAAAAGTCCTTAATGTCACATTTGACAATTTAATGCATCCTTTCAAAATCCACATAAAAAAAAAAAATGACTGACCCCAAACTTTTGAACACTAGCATTAACCAGAATCTCTGAAATTATATCCTATGGGATTTTCAGATGTGTTCGAGATTATTAAAACAAAGTTGTAATGACTGAATAAGATAAAGGATTATATTTGGGGAAAAAAGCCTATTTGTTGACGAAAATATGAATTTTTGAATTATACACAGATGATAACACTCCCCATCAACAATTCAAAAATGTCAGCATAGTGCTTGTTCTAGTATTTTAGTCAGATCAAAAACGTCATGGAGCAAAGTTCAGTTATCATACTTCAATTACTACCAAGATAAAAGCTAGTCATACTTGCACCGACTTGAACCTTCAGACCTTTGTTTTATGGCATGCGCAGTTAAGGAGGTGGGAATGGGAGGATAAGTGAGACCTGATCCCAGCCACCGGCACAGCCCATACTAATGCATTCCCAGTGCTTCCAGTGCTTGCATCAGAGTGAAGGCTGTGAGCTCGTCAAACTCTAAGCTGCCAGTGGCACATTTCCTGTTGTTGACAGGCGAGGAGCATAGCAGAGGCTGCACTGAGCTGCGTGTAGGGACTCGCATTTTATCAGCTGGAGTGCACACAGACACACGCAGAGAGCACCCTTTCACAGGAAGAGCTGCTATCACTTCTCAGATACACAGACGCAGAGGAAGCACTGACACTGAACCTCTTACCAACGGCCCAGAAACAGGAGCTGCTCCACAGATGGACTGACTCCTTCCATCCAGAGTTTGACTGATGAAAACAAGTGGGATCTGCTTTGTTGTTTTCACCTGATCTGAGTGTCTACCTGGGAAGTGTTATGGTTTTGTTCTACGTGGGATCGGATAAAACCTCATCTACAGTCATGCAGCCTGAGGACCCTGTTCGCCAGGACATGCAGTTCTACTATGTGGTGAGTAGGGGAATTTCCTATAGTCGTATGCAAATGTGTACAGGTTTTAACGCTGACTCAAACTGTATGATTCCCTACATGTAATTTTTACATTTAAAAAGTATTGTAAACTAAAGTTACTCTGATGCTGTCTTATATTTTCCTGCTAAGACTCATATTCAGTAACACATGTTCTCAACCATGTGCCCTATTGTAAGCAACCTACATAAGCATTGCACCACTGAAATATTTATTTCTCTCTCTTAATTTTTCTAAAGATATGGTGGTAAATATTAATCATTGAAAGCATTAATATCACCCGTTTTGGGGTCAGCAGCATTGGTAACATGCTATAAAGTAGGCTGTATACTTCTGCACTTTGATCCATGATCCAGGAACAATTTTTGAAAACTGCTATAAAACTAATATCTACTGTTTGTTGTACTTACAACAACTAAAGGATCTTAAAATCTTACAAAAAAGTTTCAGTATGTATATAAATGTTTGTAACAAAGTAGCCCGTGTGCACTCCAGTTTGGCTGCTAATGATAATCGTGGTTGGCGTTGCAGAGATCGCAGGTTCAGCTCTGGATGTGGATGCCCCGTGGACATTTGACCCCAAATTGCTCCACAAGATCTGTCCCTGCAATTCACACGAACTGTTTCTGCTAAATGACATGTAATGAAGTTTCAGAAGGACGATCAATTCAGAATGAAGGCTTTGTTTCTAAAGGTTGATTTAATAGGTTCTTCATCTGTTGCGTCAAGCCAATCCGAACAGCGTAAATTTAATTAAACTCATTGGACGTCACATGAGCTAATGAGCCAATATAGAGTACACACGTACTGAAATCTCAGGATTCACGTCAGCTGATCCAATCATTTTGTTGCTCTTGGTTGTAAAAGCCTCAGTAGAAATAGATTAGGAAGTTGCTTTCATGCTTCAAAACAGCGTGCAGTGGAAAATTACAAAGATTTGATGGATTGGCCAACATCTTGGACAGTGTGCAATATAATGAAGACCATATGCTGTGAGTGTGGGGGAAGGGGTCCCCGTTCTATTTCATCCTGCTGTCAGCTGTTTGCAGATAGCCATCAGTGTTTGTTAGTAGAAATAGGACAGGTGCAAAACCAGCGTTTCTGTAGACATCTGCGCTAATTTATGCACCGTGTCCCACAGCATTTCTGATGATGTACTTTTTAAATTCACATTGTGGCATTGCATTGTAAAGAGCTTTTAGCATCATTAGCAAAGGTAAAACATTCCAAAAAGTCATTCTCTGGTGCTGCACATTCCTGCAGTGTTAGTCAAGGTAAACGGATCTATCTCTAATGTCAGTACTTGATCAATGAGGGGCTTCTCATCTCCAAATAATGTTTTATAGATGTGTCATACTTAATTAATGCATATGGTCAAACATACTTAAAACCATGGTATGGTAATGCTGGAAAACTCTTTTTGCCAACAGGCTGTGTGGGAAAAGAACGCAAAATATGTGCTGGAAAATTGGAAAACTCTGCATTGGGGTGTTGGAAGGATTGGAGACAGGCAGATGAGGATTAGATTGTCTCCATGTGTCCTGATTTATAGTTTGGACCAATAAAAGAAGCACGAAAACACAACACCACACAAGCTCACAGCTTCTTGCATTAAACAGCCGAACTCTACCTGGGTTACGTTAGGAGATTTAGTCTCACTGGTCCATTGATGAAAGATGATGTGCTATATGTCTTAAAGCAAGGGTTCCACAAACCTTTTTAGGATCCATTTGGCAGGTGTAATTTATCTATTACATTTACACAAACTTTAGAATGTTTTAATGAAATATGAGGGGGAAAATCCAGTTTGTTCTCTTATTTTTTGTTTTCCTTATCATTTTATTAGATTGGGTATACTTGCTAATCGATTTCATTTCATTATCATAAGGCTTATGGTAAGCCAACAAAAAAAGAGGATAAATATTAAATACACGAGTGTGAGTTATACAGAGAGAGAGAATAAGCCTTATCTTTTATTTCCTGGTGTCACAGCTTTGCAGTGTAATGTAATGATGCACTGAAACAGAACTTGCAGTTCAGTATATGTTGATTCAGCAGCTGCTCTGATGGATTCAGTGATTTTGTTCAGTGAAATATTCATCAGACTGATAACTGAGATGGTGGCCAAATGTCTAATGGCAATTTTGCACACTTGAAGTGTACTGCAAGAAGGGGACGCCACAAAGTTCTAAGCAACAGTCAACCCCTTCACAAAAGGTCTATGCGACGGTCACTTCAAGGAATTAATTTTAACATTTATGATCATGAAAATTCAGAGTGGCAGGTCATGTTTCATTTTAATGCTAATGCTGGCTGGAGAGTTCAAGCTCATGTATAAATGTGGGTGGAATATTTTTTTGTTATGTATTTTGCATTTTTTAATCGAACTATACAGTAGTTTGTTTTATATCGTAGCCACGTAACACTGCAGTGAGCTGCATCATGGCTTGACTTTGCATGAACTCACCAGCACTCTCATACTTTGCAAGACTAATTTTTCCTCTCTTAGTAACCCACAGCTTGAAAACTGCGGTTGGAAGTCAACATGGAATCAAAATTCACCTTATTTTTTTTTTCTAAATGCTTGTTATTGATCCTATTGCATACGTTTCATGTTTTTATTTATTTTGACCTTGTAATTTTTATTTCAGTTATTTTAACTCATTCTCAACTGCTCTTTGGTGATGTATGCCAGGTTTCGAGTAATTTAGTACAACTGACTGCAAACTCGCATTCAGATCTGTCTGAATCCAGTAAACAACTAATGGGTAAGAAGTTGTTGTTGTTGTTGTTTTTTTGGATAATAATTTTTACTCGAAACTCGGATGTAAATCACAATACCGAAGACCTGTCACTATTTCCGTTACATCTTAACTATACTTCAAAGCTTGTCACCAGTTTCCTCAGTGAGCAGTCACATGACTCAAAACATTTCAAGATGAAAGGTTTTTATCATATGATTGATGAACATGAAAGAACAAAGGAGGTTTGACATTCTGAGAACTTCCTTTTCCTCCCCTCTTCCTGGTACATTTAATGGTCAAGCCCATTGAAAGGTATTCCCACTAAGTGATGTGAGGTCTCCTGAAGGACACCAATAGCCTTAACAATGATTTTAATTGGAAATAATACTATTGTATTATCTGGGGGATTTGTGGAACGGCCATTCTGTGGAATGTGAGTGTTCAAAAGTCTTGCCTTCATTAGAGAATTAGAGCTTAAATATTCTCTGTGATTTGGAATTTGAAGAGCGTGGTCTAAGATGTCACACACAAGTCAAAAGTTGCCAGAAAGACTTTAAACCTTGTATCCTTTTGAGAGTTTACAGCTATTTGGACCATACTTGCATGTATTTTAAGTTTCTGACCTAAAATACAAAGAGGGTTTTCTTTTTACAAGTGTTTTTATAGACTGTTATGCGCATAATATTAAACCTCAAAGAAAATTCAATCATCTTTTTTAAAGTTCAGGAACAGCATCTTCAGACAATGTGTCACCGTCTCATGTCACAAGACTCTGCAAGCTAAAAGGGAATCTTTTTATGTGTTTTATTGAAAAAACTCGATGGGAGTAAATTAGATAGCTAGGATTGAATTTACTTGACCAGCAGAGATAAGCAATAATGAAAGTCAAATGAAACTAGAATGTGTGGGGCCAGGGGTCAAGAGGTAAACTCATGCATAAATGGAGTGCAGTCAACCAACAGACATCTAACAATCAGTATTACATCACTGGAAGCTGATAGAGAAAACTAGGCATGTGTAAATTGCTATAGCTGATCGAGTGACTGATCAATAACAAGCAGAGAGTGCTTATCCAGACTATATAGTGATTGCAGCCTTTAGCAATATTGTTATGACGTCTGTCCCAAATGCGATGCTTATATGGTGAGATTGATTGCTATTTCTTCTTGTTTGGAAGGGCTGGTCATCCATCCACATGACATAAATAAATCTGTTACATGATGAAGAGATATATTTGGTTCCATTTTCTTGTTGTTTAGTAGATGCTTTTTAGGTAAACTGAGTAAGGTAAAATTGGGCTAAATGTTAGATCAAATTACCTCAAATTTAATTTTTGTTGTTGCATGTGATGACCTCGAGGTAAAATTCCACAGTTCATAGTGACAAACAGGTGTTTAGGAAAATGTTGTGCTACTTTCTGGTATTTACTGTTTGTTGGGGAGAAAACACTAGCACCACCATACTCAGGGGTAGGCTATTATTTATTGTGGATATCAGTCAGTGGTGGTTTCTTCAGCATAATGGAGCAGAACAGTAGAGAGCTGTGCCGATGGGTGGAGAATGTCCTGTTTAGAGAAGCATGGCATCTTTGCTGAATGTTTTTGTAAATGGCATTTCCTCTCCATGGCCTCTAGGGATCTTTTGAAGAACAGCTTGATGTTATAATAAAGCACAGAAAAGATAAGAGGATTGAAAGGATAAAAGAAAAGTGAAATAAGAAAAGTTATGACTCATGTTACGCAATCTGTCCTCCTGTAATGGTGAAATGAGACCACACTGGCCCACACACACACCTTGAATTTCTGATTTACTGTGACCTGACTAATAGAAGCCAAGCAAATACTTTATTTTGCACTGATGCTCTCTTCAAATTTGGATATGTGTCACTTTGTGTTATAAACTATGAATCAAAGTTATCTTAGGAAAGGCATTATCATTTAGTGCATCCGAGCCTTAAAATATAGCACATGCATGCTACTAAAAATTCTTTAATTTTAATGCAAATTAAATGCAACATTCTGCTACATTGTTTTTGACTGACTGTGATGTGAAGTAAGACTTGACATAACAGAGCTCAGTTAGATGTTAGTGTGGATGTATTTATTATGGATGTGTAGTGTGCATGGCCGGACTTACCATTGGGCTAGAGTGGGCTGCAGCCCATGGGCATCGCCTTGTTGGGGGGCCCGCCTTTGCCCGTTTACTTTGTTTGATTTGTTCGTTATATGACAGTCAGAA